TTTCCCTTGAGGAGCATGAATAAATCCATAACATGCTACAGAAATTAAGGAGTCTTCAGGGCTACCAGCCTTGCAGTAAAGGCTGAGTGGTAGTATCTCTCTCCTACATTAAAAGAGAGGGGAAAATGCCTTCGCTTGGTTTGTAAACTGATCATCTTTAAATAACCCATTTCTTTTATCTCTAGCCTATCTTCTGATATTCTTGATGGGAGTAGCAGCAGTGTTGGCTCTTCCTCTGATTCACTAGCTAAAGGCAGCATTACTACAGAATCTCCAGTAACGTGCTCAAACTCATGCTCATCATTTATTCTGATGGATGATCTCTCACCTAAGTGACTTAATCAGTTCTGAGTCAGTGTTTGGCTGTGCTTTTTCCTTGCTGTACATTTGTACAGAGAGATGAACTCTGATCCTTGAACCATTAACAGGAGGATTAAAATACTACATGAAAAATTATTCTAACTGTATTCCTTGGCAACTCTTCTCAGTTTTGATTTATCCATTTAATGGACATGCATAGACCATATTAATGTCTGGTTTTGCTGATTTTATTTTACAAACAAGATGTATGTTCAGACTATACTAACTTTGTTTGCTTCCAAAAAGGCTGCATACACTTCTAGATTTCCAAATAAGCACCTACATTTGTGTGTTTAATTTCTAGGAAAGTAACCGCCTGCTGTCACTTATCACAGTCACTTTAGTTGGAGAAATACTTGGTGGTTGCAAAAATATATTTTTTTTGGAAATCCTCATTTTTCAAGAGCAATTTTTAGGAGTAATTGAGATTGATTACTCTACGTTTTTATTTCTTAAAAATAAATTACGTTTACGTGGGAGGGATGTATATCCTATTTCCCCAACTAAGTAGGTAAAAAATTATTCTCTCCGCTTTTTCAGCCACTACCAGCCATTTCTCCTGTAGAAAGAAGGAAATGTTTAGTTTCCTCTACTGCTACGTGTCATTTTTACAGCAGTTGAACACTATGGTTCTAGAAGTTGCTTTTTTTGTATTTAAAAAAAAAAACCAAACCAAAACCCATCCTCTAGGGTGACGAGCACATCTTTTCAATAGAGGAAATACCGACTCCCTGTGAAACATGGTTAACACAGCTGCATAGTTCTCTCCCCAGACCCTTCATCCTACAGACTGTATAAAATATGGTCAACAATCAGACATTTGGCCAAGGAGAAATAATTCCTGCCTTGAACTAAGACTTATGGTGCAAGTAACCAAGTTACTTAAACTACTGTGTAGAAGAATGTGTGTGGCGCCATCAATGTCTCCTGTGGCATTGAGGCCATAGGTATTTTTGTGCCTTAGGGGACATTGCTACAAAATTAAGGAATGTAAACTAGAGGGGTGGGCGGGCAAAGGATTTTGTGTATGGAGTGCATACCAGATGTTGTCTTCAGTGCTGCTTTTCCTTAGTGCTCCTTTCCAAGGTGTGCATTCCAGCGAGAGGTGCGGTCAGTGGTCCCAATCGCTCTGAAACAGCGGTGTGTTTGCTACCCTTGAAGCTGCTGCTCAGCTTTATGCCTTTGCCCGGCAGAGGGCAGACAACTGAGCTAATGTGGATTTCTGGGGGAAGGCCCTTGAGGTTGGATTGGATCCTGGCTGCATACTGTGTGTCTAAGGAGTTATGTGTGAGCTACAAGAGGTCTTGATACAACACCTCGGTCAGCCGAGGTAAGACAATACATTTACTTTTTAAAGACTCAACTGGGCTAAAAATAAATCCATTTGTAATCTACTGTGTTATGCTATTTATTATTTATAACTATGTAAAAAAAGTCTGTGGTGATGACTTATAGTATTTTTTTATGATTGAATAAGTTTTTTATGTTCAGTAATAATTGCTGGCTGGTCTGTATTTAATATGCAACGTTGTCTGCCAGAATCATAAGCTTCCATTTTTGAATGTGTGTAAGTCAAATGCTTTGCGTTCTCTAAAAGTACAATTTCTGATTTGTTTTCATTTTTATTTTTTTTTAAAGAAAATAGCACTGAATTTAAAGTAAGATTATGTGCTTTAAAGATGAGCACAATCTCTGGCAATACTGTCTGACTAAGAAGGGGAGGGCGAGAACCATATTTTTTTTTTTTTTTTCGTTCTAAAGATAATGTTTAGTTTCCAGTAGCCTTGTCATACATAACATTTTACTTTTAGAAGTGTTTATTTTAAATTGTAACAAGTACCATAATGAGCCAGTAGTGGCACTATTATCTGTATTACCATTTTCACCTGTGGAGCATTAGTTTTCCCCACCTCAAATAAATGTGCATATTATAAAATATTGTCCAGTGGTGCCATTTTTAAACAAGTTCTACAGTATTCAGTGTTAATTTTATTTGTATATGCACAGTGCTATTTCTTGCATTTTGGCTGTACCTTAGATTGCTTTAACTTTTTTTTTTTTTTTAAATCCACACGTACTTTGTCTCCGCCTTCATTATGTGTTAAAAGAAGGCTGCTTTTACATTTGCAAAGTATTGATAGTCTGTGAAAGTTCAACTTGTTATCCTTGCCCCTCTTTGGTTTCACCATACTTTTATTGGGACTGTGACTTAAATCTACACAAGGGGCGACAGAACAAGTAACCTTTTGCATGCTTTCTTACAATGGAGAAGAACAACACTTGCTTATTTTGGCTGACTTGCCTGTACAATTTGATGTATTCAAGATTTGTTTGTTAGTAGTGGGGAGTCTTATATAAAATGCTGGCCTTTGTAAACATTAGAATGTAAGCTTCATAAAACAAACGCACAACCATTCAATTTTGTTACAGCATTTTTTTTTAACGGTCTGGCTGCCATGCACTCTTCACCATCGCTGTTGCTCTTTAAAACTTTTAACTATGTTTGAGTGAATGTCTGGAGCTCTGAGGGCAAGTCTCACATAACTAGTGGTAAGACTACTACTTCCTTTTAAAACTGAATTTCTAGGGATCAGTTCTTGAGTTATTCATACTTTAATCCTATGATCAAAGTTACATCTGTAGTCTCGTGAAGGCAAGTACCTGGCTGCAGCATGGCCTAACTATTTGGGGTGAAGAACACTAGCATCATCTGCAAAGGTAACCTGACTTTTCCTATTGCAAAATAATCTCACTAGTTTATATTTTCACTCAACCCCTATCATTTGGGCTGAATTTCCATGGGGGTGTCTTAAGCCAAGAATAACATTATTCCATGTGGCACATTTTTAGGATTTCTGAAGATCTTTGGAGGTTAGCTATTATTACTGAATACAGAGAGTCAAAAATGAGCATTCTGCATAGCTTCTTTCAAAACACATTACTAAACACAGCACTGAAGTCAATCTCTATGGCTAGATAATTAATGTCCTAAACTAGCCTATGCATTATGTGTATTTGAACCCCACTCTAGCTGTACAGTAGATAATCTTTCTTAAAATACTGAAAGGAATTTAATAATGGTATACTTTCCTGCAGGAAAGTAAATGTTGTATACGTGATTGGCTATGGAACTCTTAAATAATTTTAATATCGAATATTTCACCACCCCTTTTCTTCTTAAATTTGCATGTGTTTCTCCTTACACATTGAACTTCAAAGTGGAGTTAATTGATAAAAAGCTCTACTTACAGGCCCTTTCTGCATTCTCAGTGTTAATAGTTCTTCTATATAACATAATTAAAAGCTAGATGGGAGTAGCCCTGCAGAATTTATTGAGGAATCTACTCACGCACAAGGAAAATAATTAGTGCTTTGAGTAATATAGGAACACTGAAGCATGAGTTGGTGGATAGTGATCAAAGCTACAATCGATATTCATAAGTATGAACAAGCATCTTTCTTATTTAAAAAAAAAATACTCAAGCCAAGGCCTCGGTCCTACAATGAGAGCTGGGAGGACAGGCCTGTTGCTCTGAACCCTATGAAGTCAATATTGTGTATGCACAGAGGTAAATGAGCAAATTTACTGCTGGAGGGGGGTGAAGTGCTACAGGTATGTAAGAAGTGCATCTGCTTCAGGTGCTAGTTTGCAGATGCACATTATCACATTGTGACAAGTAGAGTCTAACAACAATCAAATGCATAGACAGAAGAAACCTGGTATTTTTCCTAAAGGTGTGTGATCTGCCTATGAACTTCGACATCACAGAGAAAAAGGTAGTCAAATCCTTTCTGAACTGGAAACCACAATGCAGTTTCTAGCTTTGGTTCATGTTTGCCTGTTCAGGGCCATGCAAACAAATACTGTTTTGGAGCTAGCTGCTGCAATTGCTTTAAGAACTGTCTGTCATCTCCTAAGATCGTCAGAAGGAAACAGCAACAGCCCATCTCTAGGGGACAGACTTTTTTACAGCTCAGCTCTCACTCCCAGCTAGCTGGCCAGTCTGCAAGAGACTAAGATGCATCACTCAAAAATACCAGTTGACTCTGCTGCTGAAGATAGTTTATCAGCAAAGGGCCTCGCAAGGGTTTGACTCTCAAACACAGCCCTAACTCCAACAGCTCAGTTCCAACCTAGTCAGTTCATTCTCTGTGCCTGTCATCTTAGCATCCAAAATGCTTCCCCAAGGGCAGGTCTTACAACCTGGACTTCTTACTCATAAAGGCCTCTTCATGGGCAAGTCCAGTACTTTCCTAGAAGTCTTGCTCAATCCTGCTTTAGAGGCAGAAGCTATGCTCCAGGTAACCATGACCGGTCTCCTCTTGCCAAAGGTGTCCTGGGAAGACAGAGGTCCTATTAGGGCTTTTACTAACCGCCTGGTGAGGTAGACAAGAGCACTAGCTAGCTGCTGGAGTCCTAACTCAGACATGGGGAGGTGGGGAATAACATTCAGGAAGAGGCTACCTTTGAAGAGACAAACGAGGCATGTTACTGGATGAAAACAAATCCAGGATAAGCAATGGCACTTCACATCAATGGGTAGTGGTGACCGGGTCACGATAGGGCTTATTGACTTGTGTTGTAGGCAACGGCAACAAAAATCATCCCTTCCTGTAACTGTGCGGAGAGTGTCTGCCTGCAGGCGCTCCAGGCCATCGTTTTATTACTGAATTGGACACTTGACAGGAATCTCTTGCTTCACTCCACATAACTTAGAAGTCCTTTTATTGCCCTTTGTTTGAGCCTCTGCTTTGGGGCCCTTTTGGTCTTAGCCTTGACTCTGACATCTGCCTTGAAACATGTTTGAAGTTTATGAGCAATGCAGGTTAGATGGCTCCCTATATTTTAAAAGATTTGAAAAACTAGGGTTGTGGGGTTTATTTACTTTCAAATGGCCATTACAGAGCAGGCGTGTTATTTGTTGGCATAATTTGTAAGCTAGAGTTTTAAGGGGATGAATATCGTAAAGGTACTGAAAGCAGGACAAAGAAGCATCTAGTTTTAGAGAAGAGATTGGCTTATTGTTGACCACAAGTTTCTCCTAAGACGTAGGAAATAGGGGTTTTTTTTAACACATCCGTAGCAACACAGGAACAAAATCCAGTGTGTTCCCCTGATTGCAAGATTAACAGATAAGCACTTTTTTTGGTTACTAAAGGGCCACAACAGATTCATTTAAAACAAAAAGAGGATGTAGCCAGTCTCAGGTCACTGAATAATACTTTGAAGTAGCAATCCCCTATGATTCAATAAGTCTGTTAATTATACCAAGCTGTCTAGCAGTTCCTTTCCTTATGTTTTCTGTGGTTCTCTAAAATGCATTGTCTTGGCTTATAATAAAAGAAAATACTGCTTTTTGCCAGACACCTTAGCCCTCCTTTAAAAGCTGCCTTCTGTTAGGGAGGGGATAGTTTTTTCTTAGACACTTTAACATAAAAATAAGGTTTTATGTTCCCTGCTCATTTTCTCCGTACCAAAGTGCCTTCCACCTAAATTCAACAGCAAAATCCCCTGCAGACTTATAGACTCTAATTATTTGTCCCCTTTTTTGGGGGAGGAGGGAATGTTGCGTATATGGTAAGGCTTTTGGCTTTGATTTTTAAGGTAATGAGACAATTTGGCTCTAAAAGAATTATCTTGAGTAAAGCTGAATTCTCGAAAGCATT